ATTTCCATCTGGAAGACGTAGCCTTTAGAAACACATTTTTCCATTAATTTCTGTAAGACTTCTTTTCTGTATAACCTGAAAGCAATTACAAAGGAAACGAAACAAAGCTCAAACTTCAGAAGTCAGTACTCTGCATTTATGAATCTTAACTGTAATCATTCGTTCATACCATCATTATTTAAAAAAAATAATAATAAACAAAATCACTGGAGAAACAGTTCCTGCAACGTGGTCTACTATTTCTTACACCCTTCTCAAACAGCCTTCAATAAAGAAGACCTTACTCCAATTCCTATTATAGCAGTTTCTTAATTTCAAATAGAGTTTGCATACCATACCTGAAACTCCCTGTTAAATCTGATGCACCTGGCCTCAGCAAAACCTGAGTTATGAAATTGGCACCACGACTGTGAAAGGAAACAAATGTCAAAATAGCCCATTCACAATTCAGGAAGATGAAGCAGAGTTTCCAGAAAATAAGTTTAAAAATATACATATATATTGCTTAATATGAAACAATTGTATTTCTAATATACTTTCATGCTATATTTTATTAATGAATGCTTATCTTAAAGTGAAAACACAATATTACGTTTTTCAAATTTAAACGATTAAGATTATTGAACAACTGAAGGAAAAATGATTCTTAGATTGTTAGAAATTAGGTTTACTGTATGCTTGCTTATAGTAGACCTGTCAGTACAACTACACATTGTATTAAGATACAAAACAAATCTGACAACAGTCATAATTACATTTTATCCTTAACATTCACTGTGAGAGAATAAAGATGTTTCCTGGATAAATGTTACACCTAGATTTAGAAAAGCAAAACTTCACTTCAGCTTATTCTGCTTTCATAGTATAACGAGGAAGAATCTGCTTTAAAAAAAAAAATGTTGCAAGAGTTATAGTCATAACTGACTTCTGTAGCTCACAGCTACGTGCTATCAGATGTGCACATGCTTTACATTGTAGAGCATGATGTAGAAGGATAATTGGTAATTTCCTTGTTTCCTTGGTAATTTCCACTGCTTTCTCATTTTCTCTCTTAAAAAAAAAAGAAGAGAAGCAGAGGCATGTATGCATTCTATTTAGATACACCAGAAGATAAGCAGTTATTCCATTACAGAAGGAGAAATCCAGATACTGTCCCTATGTCACCATCTCCAGATTACACTAACAGCACTCCAGCTCTAATTCCTTACAGTAAGGAGGAAACAGGTGTTAACTTATACTTATTCTCTTCAACTGTGGGGAGGAGAAGAGATACAAAACAAACTAGCTGATTAGCTCCTCAAAACCTGTGAGCCCCTACACAAGTGAGATGCCAGCCTCTACCTGCTTGGATGGCCTTGACATAGCTTTCCTCTGGTTTCTGGGTGAAACATTTCCCTAGTGCTCATTTTACCTGTTTTCCAGTAAGGTCTGAGTAATGATTTATTGACATTGATCACGTTAGACAATTCTTAGATTCTGGCAAATCAGAATATCAACAGAAAGATTTAGAAAGATTTACTGTTAAGAGAAAGAGCCATTGCAGATCTAAATGCTAACTAATCATGTCTTGTAAACTTGAAAAGGTGCCACAGTCTCAGTTCATTCTTCAGATGATGAGAGAGAAGCGTCCCAAATTGATGCTCTGTAGATATGTAGATTGAACCAGCCAGCTGTTTTTATCATGAACTTGTTGTTAAGTTCTTTCCTGATGGTTTTAATTGAAGACAAATTGTACACATTTCCATTATTTCATACCATTTTGCAGTACCCAGTACTATTAGAGACTCAGTTCAACGCACATAGAGTTATTGTTTGAGAGCTGTACTTGGAGCTCTTAATAATTTCTAAGTAACAAATTTAGGTGTAGATGTCTAGAAAAGATACTAACCTGATTAATTTTCTTTTCAAATCCCAACCATATACTCCTCCATTTCCTTTATACCTTGTTCCGGATACAATATCAAAATTGCCTTCTTTCTGCTTTCTATTAGAAATAGGTTTTTATCAGAAAAACAGGAAGAACATTTGTATGAAGTTAGTAGGAATTTCAAAATAAAAAGCGATCATTCAGTATAAGATGTACACTTACAAACCTTTAAACAAAGAGAGAACACAGCAAAACAACAGTTATGACCATTATTTAAAATAGTTCTTTATTACAGAACAATTAACTATCTTGAAGTATCTTATGATTATCTTTTAGCAACAATGTAACAGAATTCCAAAGACTAGTTTATAAATACTGACCTATCTATCATTTTTAAAGCTAGGATAATCTTCAGATTTTAAGATCTGATCTAAGTATTTAAATTACACAACCCCACAGTAAGGAGAAAAATAGGTCTGGAACTATCCCTAGTACAAATCATGCCAAGCTGTAACACTTTTGGCCTCTGGTACTACTTAGCAAGAAAGTTCACAATTATTTAACTACCCTGAGTCTGTTTACTGTTTCTCATGAGTTGAAGTGTTACAGGGAGAGGAAAGTAAGAGGTAAACAGAAGGAAGGAAGTATTTGACAATTAAATGTGAACTTGGTCCTCCAGTCAATATTCCTGCATTCACACAAGGAGATCACTCGCACTGGATGATTATTTTTATATATATGTATGCATAAGTGCAGTTTTCTAAGCTGAACCACCATTACAAGAAAGAAGAGTGCTGCAACACACGTTCTCTGTTAGTTTAAACTTGGGGATTTTTTAGTCCAGTAGGAAATTATTTTTTTTCTGGATATTTTGGAACAAACCTAATGAAGTCACATCACTTGTACTGGAAGTGTTGCCCTGACCATTTCTTACTACAATTAAACAGCTTTCAAATCTTACTACAAAACAGTAAACATTTACATGTTTAAACTAGAAGAAGGACCCACCTGATGAACTCTGGAATAAATTTTGGCTGAAATAGAAAGAAAACAGATGAAATAAGAGAAAGGAGTTCAGGGGGAGAAATAAAGAAAGATTTAATTAAAATAGATTAAAAACCTACGTGTAAAATACAACTTACATGGTGAGATAGGTCAGCATCCATAATAACAATAAAATTCCCAGTGGCGTGCTTCATTCCATGGATATAGGCAGTGCCTGATGAAAACAGTACAGAAAGAATTTCCATCTGTATTTTAACACATGCAGTCTTCTAGCCACAGCTTTCTCTTCTTTAAAATCGTTAAGTTTCACCAGAAAATGATTAACAAATACTGCTAAAGTGATACACTGTCAGTCAAATGTTAAAGCTGTTTTTTTTGTTTGTTTGTTTGTTTCCCCCCCCCATCATTTCAGCACTAGGTTTTTTAAGTGTTGGCCTTGTCACCCTACTGCACTAGGGATGCATAGAGAAACAAGACTTGATAGGTGGGCTGCTACCTGAAATGACATTCAGAAGCACCACAAGCACTACATATTCATTTACTTACTACAAACCATAATTAACAAGGACTTACCAAGGCCCAACTTCTTTGGTCTGGGTCTTAGAAGCTGCAAGATACACAAAAATATATCATCTATTAATTGAAGAACAGGTTTTAATTACTTTTGTGACACCTTTGAATTCTATATTTTTAGGTGTAAAAAATACTTGAAAAACTCATTTTCCTTTTTAGAAATCTAGTTGATACATAAAAATAAACTAATCAGAGAAAACACAGGAAAAGCAAACTATTGCATGAAACAGGTCGTGTCATATTTAGAAATAAACTCCTTACTTTTATTCTCATTTCATCCTATTAAAAGTACCATCCCTGCAATTGAAGGATTTCCTCAAGTTGCACCATCAGGTGTACAGTTAAGAACCCAAACAAAGGCCTTCTTAACACCACTACTTTAAAGGAATTGCTAAGCACTAACAGTGAACACTCTGCCACAGCACGATGCCGCATGGTACCAACACAAATAACACTTCCACCAACGTCAAGATTCCCACATGCATACAGATGTACCTGAGGAGTAAGGACCATGCAAGAACACCATTTGTCTTTCAGAAGTTGAGCAAACCAGATTCCTAACCCGTGCTAAGTACCCTCCTTCCTGCAGGGCCGTATCACTTCCTATCATTGGTGCTTCTGCTGATTATTGTTTTGGTTCCCGCTCCCCCTTCACCCCGGTTGTTTTCCGTGATGGTCAGAGTTGAAACTTCTACAGAAAAGGAAAATCGATTCCTCTCCTGCTTCCTTGAACGTGCTGCCCTCAATCAGAGCGCACTGCGACAGAAAGCAGTTTTGTACCCACGGCGCTGCCTCGGCTCGGGAGGAACAGAAGAACACTCGGTGGCTAAAGCGGATCAGGGCCAGAACCGAGAAGTGCAATTCCACGAGGAGCCGCGGCTGCCTCGCACTGCTGCGCTAACGGACGTCCCGGCCCGCCGATCGGACACCGAGGAGATGCACTCAGCTCCGCCCGCTCACCGCCTTCGCGCTCTGACCGGTTCGGCCCGACCCCCGCCCGCCCCGGCGCACGGAGGCGGCAGCGAGCGCCGCCGGTACCGGAGGAGCGCATGGACGAACAGCCGCGCGCCTCCACCGCCCCGCCCGGCTGAGCGGCGGCGAGCTGCGGGGCGGCACGCGGCGCTGAGGGCTGCCGGCGCTTCCCGGCGGGAGGAGAGACGGGAAGAAGCGCGACTCACGATTGTGTCCGACCCGTAGATCGCCTCCAGCTGCTCGGCAACCTGCTGCGTCCCGTCCGGGCTGCCATCGTCTATGACGATAATTTCGAAGTCTGTCCCGCTGAAACCAGAAATACCTCGTAAGCGGACTCACGGAGGACCCGATTTCCTCCCCTGCGTCGCTTCGTACGGCGCGAAACAGAACGCGAGATCTTCAGACGGCGGCCTACGCTACGGCACATATCAAGGCTGCGACACCGTGCTCGCAGCGCTAAGACCGGCCGTCGAGCCGGCCGTACCTCTGGCGGAAGGTGCGCACGAGCAGCCACACGACCAGCGGCAGATTCTCGCGCTCGTTGTAGGTGGGCAGCAGCACCGAGAACTTATCGCCACTGCGCGCCGCCATGTCACAGCGCGGCTCCTCCCGGCACCGCGCAGCCAATCAGCGCTCGCCGCGGGGCCGGAAGTCGCCGGCCGGAGGCGGAAGCTGGGTCCGCCCGCCCTTCTCCGTAGACATGGCCGGCGGTGCGGAGGCGGCGTGGTTGAGTGTTGAGATCGAGCAGCGGGAGCGGGAGCTGCGCAGCTTGCGGGAGCAGTTAGCTGCTGTCCTGGCGGGGGAGTGCGGTGGAGCCGCCGAGCAGGGTGCCGATGCCGCCGACGCCGCCTTCCCCGCCAAGCTCCCCCCTCTGCCCGCCCAGGCCGCGCTGAGTCCCGCCGATATCCTGCGGTACAGCCGGCAGCTGGTGCTGCCTGAGCTGGGCGTGCGGGGACAGCTGCTGCTGGCCCGCTCCTCCGTGCTCGTGGTGGGCTGCGGCGGTCTGGGTTGCCCCCTCGCCCAGTACCTGGCCGCGGCCGGCGTGGGCCGCCTGGGGCTGGTGGATCATGACGTGGTGGAGACGAGCAACTTGCACCGGCAGGTGCTGCACGGGGAGGCCCGCCGGGGGTTCCCCAAGGCCGCGTCTGCCGCGGCGGCCTTGCGGCAGCTCAACTCCACGGTGCAGTACGTGCCCTACTGCGGGGCTCTGAGTCCGCGCAGCGCCTTGCAGCTGGTGCGGCAGTACGACGTGGTGGCCGACTGCTCCGACAACGTGCCCACCAGGTACTTGGTGAACGACGCCTGTGTCCTGGCTGGGAAGCCCCTGGTGTCTGGCAGTGCTCTCCGGCTGGAGGGGCAGCTGGTCGTGTACAACTACCAGGGAGGGCCCTGCTACCGCTGCCTTTTCCCCAAACCACCTCCACCAGAGACGGTGACTAACTGTGCGGATGGGGGAGTGCTGGGTGTCGTGCCGGGCATCGTGGGGTGTATTCAGGCCTTGGAAGTGTTGAAGATTGTTTCAGGGATGGGTTCCTCCTTCAATCGGTTCATGCTGATGTTTGATGCCCAGGAAGGGCGGTTTCGCAACATCAAGTTAAGACCGAAAAGATCAGACTGTGCTGTTTGTGGTGACAATCCATCTGTCACTTGCCTTCAGGATTATGAGGCATTTTGTGGCTCTTCTGCGACAGACAAATGTAGAACTTTACATCTGTTGTCCAGCAAAGACAGGATATCTGTTGAGGAATACAAAAAACTGTTGGATGGGCAAATTCCTCATGTATTGCTAGATGTTCGCCCGCAGGTTGAAGTGGATATCTGTCGCCTGGAACATGCTGTCCACATTCCTTTGAGTAAATTAGAGGAAAAAGATGAAGAATATCTGGAATACTTACAGAAAAGAATTTGTGAAGAAAAGCAGAGAACTGATGGCCAAACATGTTTTCCTGTGTATGTTGTTTGCAAATTAGGAAATGACTCCCAGAAGGCTGTAAGAATTCTGCAGGAGTTACCTGTCAAAGAATTTGGTCCTGTATTAGCTAAGGATATTAAAGGGGGGCTCATGTCTTGGGCCAGTAGAATTGACCCAACATTTCCTCAGTACTAAAAATTTAAATGTTAAAAATAAAAAAGAATATTAACAGTAAATTCTCTAGAGTTTAATTTTCTTTGTGCAACATCTATATCATGTGAGTCAAATGAGATATAAATACTATGCTCTTTTTAATAGTATATTTTAAAGTTAAATGTATTTTTATAGATGCTTGATTTTTTTTTTTAATGTAAAAATATGAAACTATTCATAGAAATTGGAAGAAATAAATTTTTTGTTCTTATTTAAAAGTGAACACTTGGAATGATTGCTTAATTGTGCATGTGATGATTGTTTGTTTTTAATGACCAATGCATTATTTTGTTGTAAAGAGCTATGTACGTCTAAGTAGTTCTCATAGATAAACTGAATGAATAAGAAATAGTGTCACAACAGGGAGCTGCCACAGTCCTCATCATGTATACATAGCAATTATACTAATACAGATGTAGGTTCTTTTTTAATTTCTGAGGAGGAAAACATCTGTCATGACCAATCTTTGCATTACACAAGATGAAAGAGAATGCTAACATTATAATAATTATTACGAATTATTAGTAGTTAATAATTAATAATTATTATTAATAGTAAAAAAAGTAGATTTTAACAAAATAAGTTGTGGAACATCCACATCACCTACTTTACTGTAACATGCCGTGCATTTTAGCAGTAACAGATACATTTATGTATACGGAGATATCTTTGCAGTTTAGAGGACAACAAAAGCATTCAAGGCCATGACTTAATGTAATTGTGGTATGTAACGTGGGAGTCGTAAGTAAAGACCACTTGAGGCAGGGTGTCAAGGCTTGGTTGAATTTTGGGTTTTGGTTTTTGGGAATCAGAAACCAGAGAGACTTACCTGAAATGCATGACTTCGTTTTCATTTTTTCTGTGTTGAGTGCAATGGCAATGATTCTTTAATGTCTGACCTACTGATGCTAAACCCTTAGTGATACGTCACACATCCACTTGACCTGAAAAAGTGATCCTTTTCAGTCACTGAAAGCAAGGTGAACGTATGAACGTTCCACTGATACTTTTGGGGACAGGATGAAGAAGAAGACTGATTCTAAATGTGTGCTGCTTCCAGTAGATAGAAATCATGTTTATAGTCTTTTCCTGATTACATTCTTAGGGGCGGATTTACACAAACTGTGAAAGAAAAAAAGAGCTGATAATAAAGCCTGCTATGTTTTGTGTGACTTTTTGTTGCTGTCCACTCATTTATGTGGGCTTGCTGAAGCACTATGCAAATTTTACTGTCTTCAAGATGTGCTGGACTCTTGGGAGATTATGTGAAAAATCAAGAGTGAGAATCATTACTGAGCCCAAATTGATCTTATTGGAAGCTTACCTTTCATTCTGGCTTGATTTATTTGTTGAACTCTTCTCAAACACAGCAGACACATGGTGATTTCTCTTTGCACCAGGAAGTGTCATAGCGTATCTCCAGAATTTCGAAGAGAAGCAATAAAACTCTCATTTTGTATTGCTGCCAACGTACTGCCTAAGTATTGATGCATGTTGTCATTGTGAATAAAAATGAGCTGCTTTATTTAAGGAGCTTACAGTGCAGTTGGTCTGATGTCTTACCAGAAGGGGTCAGGGCACTCAACAGAGTGTCTTTTTATCTCTCAGTCTTGATGTTGTGAGGCTTCTTTTTGCTTCTTTGATCATACTTTCTTTTAAAGTGGCTTACTGGATTTTGGCACAGGGACTGCAGGAAACAGCTTCCTGTTGGAGGTTTAGAATAATAGGCAGTGGCTGCAGCATTTGTTCTTGATTACTGTGTTTGAATGTCTGCCACATGTAGGTCTAGAGGATAGCTTCAGGGTTCAGGAATAAACTTAAATACATAAATTTGTTTTCTCTTAAGATGTGGTGGTTATTTTAAGGCACAGCAAATCATCTGGTCTAGCCTTTATATAAGTCTAAAATGTATTTAATGCAGAGCATTAATGTGCCTTGATAAACTAAAATCTTCCTTATTTTGTTGGCAGGAAACTTATCTCAAAACTCCAACAAATTCAACATTCACCTAATATTGAAATGTGTTATTTCAAATGAAAATTAATGGGACTGTTTGGTAGACAAATCCATAAGGGATGTGTCCAAAGCAAGTTTTTAAAATTCAAGTACTGGAATTTTAGCTGTGTGAGCATCTTCATGATTATCCTATTAGTAAGCGTGATTTTGGGTCAAAATCTAACTGTTCAGAACAAAACTGTGCACTGGAAGCTTGAAGTACTGCAAGCTCAAATTTCTTTCTTTATTTTTAAAATAATTTTTTTAATATGAAAGCTCTGTGCTGTGCTTTGTAAAATTATACCAGAAAATACTCATAAGGATGTTTGCTAGGTGGCACTGCGAGTTTGTAAACCAAACCATTCCCTAGGCCACAACAGATGCAATTCTACCATAGCAAGAGCTGAGGTGCATTTATATAAATGTGCAGTTCTTTTGAAAAAAGACCAGGGAAACAGAATGGCATGAAGCAGGGTAATCGAATCATACTTACAGTTTTCCAAGAAAAAATTGTAAAAGCAGTGATCTTTCTGAGGTGCATTTTGAACATCATTTATTTCAGAGACTTCACCTGAGTTTTTCACGTACCACGTCCAAATCCCCACTGAATAAAGTGGATTCCTCTGGAAAAAAAAACTGAGTTTGCGGACCTGGTGTGGTCCACAGACCACAGACAGAACAAGGCTGTGCAAACACCCGTGCCTAGAGCTCAGAAACATTCCTGTGGTAATAAAACTGGATTGTGAACCTTAGTGTTCCATACAGTGCTGTAGGGACAGATTTTTTGATGCCTGTTTTTAGTATTTAAGATCTGTAACAAAAAATAAACGTAATACAAATAAAAAATAAACCCTACAGGCGTATTTAGTGCAAACGTGTGAACCTACAAATAGCAAACTGGCATTGTCTGCAGAAATTTCAGGTAACAAAAGCAGCTGTTGCTCTCTGAAAGTGCAGTAACAGAAGTGATGAAACAAGTACTGTGAGATACTTGCACTTCTGGTATTTTGTGCAGGTGGTAAAATCGTGGTGAAGAGCAAAAAACAGCTTCCATCCAAAATGGCACCTGTCATGAATGTCATCAGAAAAGGAGACTAATAAAAAATTATCTATTGCAGTAAAGCTAGTCTATTGCAATACAAGTTTCCCAGTCAGAAATACAACCAATCTGTGTCAGGTGTTGGTATCTACTGAAAGCTACAGTCTGGCCACAGCTGTAGCCAGAAAGAAGACTTGAAGGGTCTGCTGAGATACAGGAGTGCAGGCCATGCTGTGCATGGTTTCAGTTCTTCTCTGCCTTCCTAACCCTGCCCATGGCGTCACCACTGCTCTCCTCAGGAGCAGCACAGTTTGAACACTGAAAGAGGCCTATGAGAAGCAGAGCACCAGTTCTCTGTCACAAGAAACAAGAACAACTGTGGACTTGACTCGTCTGAGAGTATGGAAGTTTGCACTCTCTCTAACCTAGTTAGTAAGTGCTTGTCAGCATCTGTTCCTGCTCGAGGAGAAAACATGGAGAGGGCTTTTGCTGTGAGTGGAAGGAATGCTGGGCTACCTGCGTGGCGGCCAACAGTGGCCCTGCTTTGGGGCAGCCCAGAAGTGTGTGTTGACTGCAGCTCTTGCTGATGGGAGCCGTCATCTCTGGAGGAGGAAACCTGCAGTGGGTGTTCTGTGGCTGCTCCGGCCCGAGGCCCTCCTGTGCCAGGAGCTGCTCTTCGTGCAGGGTGCCCGTGCTGTTGCTAAGAGACCAAAGCTCAACTCGCAAAGAAAGCTTATTTCCAAATACAAAATGGCTCCTCTTGTAGACTGGCTGGGAATTGAGGTCTCTTATGCAAATGGGCATTCACCTGCTCATGAGTGGAAGGCAGCTCTTGTTTTGAGCGGTGGACTGCAAACTTAATGACATAAAGGTCTGAAATTTAGGAAGGACCAATTGTAACTTTGTAAATGTGCACTGATGTTTGCACAGACGCAGAGTCATATGTGCACAGACGTGGCACAGTCATATTCCAGATGCTTTGTGGGAGAACCATAGGTTTTAGGTAGAACTTACAGAAATCATTTCCAAGGCACGCGTATTTCGAACCCATTTGGTGGAACTGCTCTTGTCTCGTGCTTTGTTACTGCACCTTTGGGTGGTAACAGGCATAAAGGTTGAAACTTGTCAGAGCACTCGATAGGTGCATTTTTACCATTAATTGATTAAAATTGAATGTTTTGAGCCTACTCTGCGCTTCAGATGAGAGCACCAATGGCTTTTTTGACGCTCAGAACTCCAGCGTTTGCTTTGAGTTGCTCTCCTGCAGTGCTGATCTACTCAATATATGAGTTTTGACACTTTTGAAACAAAGTTTCAGACATAACTTTTCTCCTTTGCTTTCTGCCCGAAGTTCTGTTGTCTTCTCATCTCCTGCCCTGATTAGTGTTAATTTCCTTTTCTATTCATATTTTTAGTACTGTACTGCCGTCCATCCAAAGCACCATTATGAAATGAAGTTCCTTGTAATTATTTCTCAGATGCAGTTACCTAAATCAGTTCTTTAGTTTTCACAGTGACAACTTCAACTTCACATTCTGATCTTAGTTAGCCTTTTAAAACACCAATCATTTTGTAGATTCTCACATCTCTTTCCTTATTTCCTTTTCTCCTGCACTGTGGCTAAAAGTACTGACAGCACCAAAGTACAATGCTTTTAAGAAAAAAGCTCACAGCACTGTTCTATTAGTGCATGAGAATGACTAAGAATAATGGACCGGGACTCAGGTTACAGACGTTGATGGAGATTGCCTTATGATTACACCATGGTGCTGTTGAGTGCTGGATATTGCAGAGACAGATAAAATCCCAAAGGGAGAAGTTTTGTGACATGTCCTGGCACAGCACTGCAGAGCTTCCTTTTAGTCTTCCTTTTGCTAATCTCAGGTACTACTAATGGCTGTGATTGATACTGTCAGTCTCAGAGCTCTGCAGGCTTTGCTCTAATGCAGGGCTGTGCCTGTGCTGGGTATTTTGGGTGAATATTGAAGCTTTTTGTGCATGGAGCTTTCCTGCGGGTGAGGCTACGCCTCACGCTGCTGGGGAAACCCGTGCTTTCTGATCAGAGGGGCTGCTTGGAGTCGTCTGTGTGACACTGCTATTTTAAGATTTATTTACCATGAATCAAGAGCAGAAAGAGGCTGATAGCCTTTCTCCACACCTTTGCTGACATTACAATGGGTTTTGTTCTAGTGTCACTCACAGCAGCAGATTCCTCTGCACTGGGCACCTTCCCTGTTACCATAGCTCCGTATGATACACAGTTGCTGTGATGCCTGCAGGGTACTTCCATCTGGGAAGGCAAGATAGGCACTGGTGAGCAGTACTGTAAGCAATTGCATTGCAGACAAATTGTTCTTATTTGTTGTGGCTACATCCTACCTGTTCTTCATGCCTACCTGTTTATCCTTTCCTGTTCTTTCTCTCTGCTGTGAGCTCTGCGGGTATATAAGTAGGGAGGATGACAAAGATTCTTGAGCCATAAGCAGCACTACTAACACAATTTCCAGCCAAATCATGTTCTGAAATTATATGTGGAGGTGTAGATTTGTGTATACACAACTAACAAACAGTGCACTATGTGCCCATGCATACTGCTACAATGAACAGGGTAGCACAGTTGCATCTGTGGAAGCTCCAGCACTACCCTTTCTTTTAGACTTTTTGTGGACTTTTGGATATAGATTAATTTTTTTTTAGAGCCCTAGACAACAGGGAACCAAATAGTCCCTGTTTGACCATTTAGTTTAGAGCCTGAATCTGGCAAGGTCATTAGTATTTGGATATTGGACTAGGGATTACACCTTGGTGTAATCTGTTTTGTTTGTTTACAAGCACGACTGTGGAACTCCTTCTCTTCCTAAATGCAAGTTTCATTTGACCACAGGGAACCTTTCTGAGGAGAAAAGTCACCCCACCAAAGCAGTGGCTCAGTGGGTCACCCACATCAGTGCTTCCAAGGAAGGGTGGGTGTGAGCTCATGGCTGGCACTGGGAGCACAGAGCCCTGCAAGTGTGGCCTTACATGACCCTGTGTTAAAATGGAGCTACAAATTTACATCCTAATGACAACATTTGGGGTCTACAGGCCTGAACTTTATCTATAGCAGCTTTTCCCAGCGCAGAAAGATGTGAGTGCTCTTCTCATTGATCATCTCCTATCTGCTATATTAAATCCTTGCCTGCCCACAGGTTCATGCTCAGTGGCAGTTCTTTTCTCTTTTGTGCATAACACAGCAGTGGCATTTTTTTAACAAACACTTTATAAGTTTGAGAAAAATGGGTCGATCCTCTGACAGCAAAAAAACCCAACGATGTCACAGTTTGTGTTGGTAAGATGCAGTCCAAATATTTTTAACATCTTTCTGAAGATGGATGCCGCGGGCTGCTGCTCCTGGGTCGGGATTCCCGGCTCTCAGCCTGAGCTGCCAGGAGCGGCCCGAAGGTGGCGATGTCGGATCCTCGAACGGCCGTCGCTGCGGTCCGTACCGTCGGAATCTTCTCGGAACCGAGCGCTGACACGCGCGTGGGAGTTACAGCTCCTCGGTAATCCGGAGAGCTGACCGATGCAACTGCAGTGCGTGCATTTTGAGTACTAAAACTTTTAGTGTTAGGAATTCAATCATATTTAAAGACGGCAAATAATGGTACATTTTTGTTGACAAGGAAGACTTTGACTTTGCATGCAAGTGCTATGCAAAAATGCATCGTGGTTTTGTGCAGGTGCTCGAAGTGCTTTTGGAGTTTCTGCTGTCAGAGGAAAAGCAAAGAGCCAGTGGGAAAAAAATCCTCCTTCAGGTTTTCACTAATCAGCTCAAGAGGAATGTTTGATTGATGCAATTTCA